AAGCACGTTCTTTGTAGCATGTAAGGAAGCCTAAAGCCTTCCAAAATATTTCATCTATCATTACATCTATTTAAAATTAAGTAGGTAATAAGCGAGATAACACAGATAAAAGTAAAACAACTAATTCCCATCAATAACATTTAGCTACTGCTTCCTCCTTTAAAAAACATGTCAATTTCTTCTCAACTACTTACAAGCTTTAAGGCAAACATTAGCAGTTACTCTAGTCTGGTGCTTAAAATAAACATTAGCAGTTACTCAAAAGTGCCAATCACAAGACCCCTTAGGTTTCATCTCAATACTGACTTGAAGATCTCCTTACCAAAAAATGGTGCTCTACACAATAAATGAGCGTACAGAATTTCGAGCAACATATTCTTTCTTTTTTTTCCTTTAAGGTACAAACTGCACAGAAAAACCAAGTCGAAATTCAATTTACTATACTCCTTCATAAATGCCAAGTATTTCCCAGGTAGCATTTAAAGCTTCCAAAGTACCAGGTCTCGTTCTGTCTTATTGTTTTTGAGAAGGCAGAACATGAAAACTCTGCTGACAAACAGAGAGATCCCAAGTTTCCTTCCCAGCACAGAACTGTGCAGGATGCAGAACTAAATTTCATGCCAAAATACAATACACAGTGGAGTGAGGATTCCTCCCTGCAATTTATTGCATTCTGTGAACTTCTGTGAAGGGAACTAATAGTCATTGTCATCTCTACCAGAATATTAAGATCAGAGAAACACAGTAGGCATAAGAAGAAAACCATTTACCAGTTACGAGCAAAGAATCAAAACTAAAAATAAATCAATAATAGCATGGCTAATTTGTTACTTGTTAACTACAGACTATCAGATTTTGCAACATCTTTAGGACATTGGGTTAGGTTTTGGGGCAACAGAGTAAGACTCATCTCTATAACAAGCAAGTTATACTAGCATATGAATGTGACATAAACCACATTACAAAAGTTATTTGGTTGGGGTTCTTTTCTTTAAATCAAAGTCTTGCAAAGTAACCAAATCAAGATTTACTAATATCTGCCACTGCTTTCTTCATTATTTTCTACTCTGAAATTTTTACTTTTGGTAACATGTAAATTTTCCAGTACCATGCACTGAAAACTGCTCAGGCTGAAGAGGTGCAGTATCTACACATTTAGTTTGGCATCAAGGAGTGTCTTCTCTACCATACCATGACAATTTTTGACTCTTACAAACCTGCTCCTACCACTCTAAGTGTACAACATTCAAGTCTGACTTTCCACAGTAGTCATGGCAGTTTATCCAACGACCCTTGCAAATTCTTCGTTAGTATTTTCACTCATTTAGCCTATCCAATTTTCTCACTGGATGAAATTTTCTTTCTGTACTTAACTTACTTTAGAATAATAATTGATGCCTTTACAAAAGCCAATGTAAACTGAAGCTACTTTATGAACTTCACAGTGTATGTTCACAATTAAAACATAAAATGAGCCAGAGTAGGCATTTCCTCAACCACGCTCTCAAGAATCATATACATTTCTTTTATCTTTTTATTACAGCACAGAAAATCAAATCAGAAGTACAAAGTAACTGTTGAAATGTTATATACATATAAAATGGGGGTCATATGTTAGCATGACATTGGTCCCAAGGCACTGTAGTCTATGTATTAAAAAAAACCTAACTAAATTTGGAGTCCTGATGACATAATTTGATCTTTAGGTTACTGACTAATTCACTTTGAACAACAGTTCTATTAGTAAACTCTTCTGAAAACAGACACCCAAGGGTTTTTCTCTGTTACAGAAACCCAATTCCACACTTCACTATAAACTTAAGATATTTCTCAAATATTGAAGAAAGCTGAATTAACTATTTAATAAAAAAAAAAAAACCCACCAAAAAAAAAGCCCACATCATATTGTAAATGCACTTTACACTTCAGTCTTCATTTCTGGAACAAACTTTTCCAACTGCATTACTAAAAGAGTGAGAAAGACAGTTGGTACACTTAAATGTTTGGGGTAAAGCCAGTGGCAATAATGACTGGCGAGCTTTCCTAAAATCAGAGAAACAAACTAGCAGAAGATTATACTTGTGTATGGAAATGTAGTGCACAGCTGCTGCAACAGGTTATCCAACATCTATGCTTCATTATGGAAAAAACTTACTTCATCTTTAGGCTACATTTAAAGAAGCTCTAGGGCTAAATTTGATGCAAATTCCATTGTTAGCTACAACTTCTGCTAATTATTATTGAGGCAAACCACTGAAGGATTGCAGGAATGGCCTGCACTAAGTTTTTACTCCCACAAAGGACACTGCAGAGAAAAACTGCCTGCAAACACTCCTTGTAGGCATTGCTATCACACCTCTACTCCCAGTATTGGCCAGAGGTTCACTATGGGCACTTGGGGCTCTGAAGTGATACTGCACTCAACATCCCTAATGATAGATCAGTGTTAGGCAATCATCTGTGCGTGCAGACACATATTAAAACCTTCAGGTAAAGCATGTGTATGAGCATCTAAAAAACACAGAAAAGCATTATAGAATGAGTTTCAACATTAAGAACCTCAGTTGTGCATGACTAAGGCAGATTTACGAATTCACCGTGAACTTGGAAACAGTCCACTGCATCCAGCTCTGCAATTAGACAGAAGATGAATTTTTCATAAATTTTAATGCTGTGGTATGAACATAACAAAGTTCTTCAGAAATAACAGCATCTGGTGTACAATCCTAATAGTAGTTAACCGTAGCTACTGGAAGACCCTTTGGACATTGCTTTTTTCTATGTCTTCCTGAACCAGCTTGATGCTCTCAGCTAGAAGCCCATTTAACTACTTTACTTAGCTTCCACCTCCAGAAGCCTGCTGATGGAAAGGCAGAGGAAGCAGGTACCTGCAAAAACAATATCAGAATACCATGAAGCCAGAAGACCCTCGCCAACACAAACACTGAGGACCAGCTAGGGGAGCTTCCCTTTGTGAGAACCATAGCATGCAGGGGTAGACCACCATCTACATAAGCCTGAGCAATCTCTGTATAGAAATAAAAAAGCTGGTTCACTACTCCCAAATTACATCCACAAAACAAATCTGAACATCATCATAATTTACATAAGTAGATATATGGGGAAAGCAGTCTTCAGGGCTTGGGCTACTATCTCCATCAATAGCACTAGGGAGTTTTTAAACTGTATGAATTCCAGCCATAAGCCTTATAGGATAAGCAGAAGTTTGAGCAGAATCATTAGGCTCTGACCAGCAGAGAGCAGTTTAGCAAATACATTTCAGTGAGCACCATGTACTTTAAGTTTGGTTTGGAGTTTTGTAGGGTTGGTGTTTTTTACTTTTTATATTAAGTTTAGAAGAGAACTTTACTGAACTTAGTTATACATGTCATTTTGCTCTTTTCTGATACATAACTTCCACAACACTCAAGAAGAAACTGCTTCCTGAGACACTGGAGTCTTTGTGAAATGACCCAGCCCTTACAGGGAAAAAAAAAACAAAACAGAAAAGTGCATGATGATTCTCACAACTCAGAATCCCCACAATTCCCCCTCCCCTCTAAGTTAAGTCTCACATTTATCTGACTCCTGTGTGAATATTGCACGTATTCTTCAGTTAACTCAAATGATCAAATTAAAACAAGAATGTCAAGGACAATTTAAGCCGTGGTAACATGACATATTTTTGCTTTTCACACCTTGAGCTTTAATATAAAGAATGGTTTTCACCTGAACCTTCACCTTTAACCAATTAAGAGAAGAATAAAACCAAACAAAAATTTTCCAGGACAGAAATCCCAAAATATTATAACTCTTATGAATGTGCTACCAGTTAACAACTGGAGACTACTTCCAGGGAAGGATGCTAGTTAGACCAAAGTGCTCAAACAAAAAACAGAATAATCATTTTCAGTGAACTTGTCATAGCTAAATATTGAGCACAAATATTATCTTAAATTTAAAAATTTAATAAAACCTCCAAACAATACTTTTCCACAGTCACACAGACCTCTTACGAATATCAACCATCTGTTGAACTTAACAATTTCTGGAAAACTATGTCACACAATCCACCAGGAGAAAGACTTCTTTCAGGGATACAGTTTCTCACAGTCTCTCAGACAATATTTAAAAGACATTGTGTTTGTTTTCCCAGTAGTACCTTGGTTTCCATACAGCAAGAGGAAAAGAAAAGCACAGTGACAAGAAACATGTCTGTAAAAAGCAGATGTCTATGTTACATACATTTACTGCTATATCTATCAACAGACTACTTATGTTTTTGGATTTGTAAGGAATGCTTTGGGGTTTTTTTTTGGTCTTGCACAATACAAACTTAATCTATACATTGCAAAAGAGATTCCTACAGGTAAAAACACCGTTAAAATTGCACACAGTTTCTGTATTGCTTTTTGTACTAACCAATGATGTAACATGAACCTACAATTTCTTCTTAACTGGGAGACAGTAGGATACAGTTTTTACTGATGAAACAACACTTTTGTATGTTTATGAATCAAAGAAAGTCATGAGATAAAAAACAAAAAAACACTGATGCCTTTGGTGAAAAGACTAAGCTTATGCCTATACGGCACTTACATTAGAAAGACAGGCTTTGATACAGTATTTTTGTTGGTTTTAAACAAAGACAAGAATTTTCCTGAAACTACTTTTCCACCCAACCTATTGTAAAGAATCTGCTACTTGACAGCTTACAGGGAACAATGACTGCCAGCATGAGCAGGCTGCACTCATTGAAATGAAAACCTTAAACCCCCCAACGCAGTTTGTAACTTCTTTCTGTTATTTATCTGACTTCTGAAGCAGGCTCCCTGTCAGGCTGAGGTGCTGCTCTCACAGCATCCCTGCAGTGTGCTACAGCTGCACCCCTGAGTGCTCTGCAGCGCTCCAGCCATGCCACATCCTGCATCCCACATCCAAACCCACTGCCTACCACAGGCACATCCCCCTGTCCCAGCAAACTGAAACCTTCCTCTTACCTCCACCTCCTTGCTCTTCTCTTTGTTTGTGCCCATTGAACTTCTCCCATTGCTGGCAGTCTCCCGCGCTGGCACTACAGAAATCTGCTGGAGTGGCATTCTTACAGAGCTGCAGGTTGCCAGTACCTGTTTGGATGCCTTATATCTTCACTCCCCCCGAGTAGCCCACCTGTATAATTGTTCATATCCTCTCTTTGCCAAGCTCAGCTCTAAATAAAAAGGGGAAAATATTATTTGAGAAACGGTGAAGGCAGGGTCTTCCATCAAAAGAAAAAAAAAAAAATCAACAAAGCAGAGCAAATTGCAAACACAAGCGAGACACAGAAAACAAAGAAGTAAGGCACAACAATCCAGGGAGTTTCACATGCTTAGAGTGATGAGTTGCTGCAAGTCTGTGTCCCTGGAGCACCCCGCCATAGCACTAGCCCCCAAGAGCACTGTGGGAGACAATTCAATTTCTGTGTTACCTAATAACTGTCATGGGAACCAAGGAAAGCCAGGTCTCACAGGCCCTGATCAGCGATCGCTTCCCGCTAACGGCACCGGCTCCCACATTTGCAGCAGCTGCCACTTCTGCTTTTGTCTCCCCTCCGATGCCACTGGAGCCCACTGAGCACCCCAGACACAGCCTCGTGCCCGCTAGGTGCAGCAGCAGAAGGCTGAAAAGCTTAGTGTCCTATTTTGGAGGCGAAATCTCCTCCTTTAAAAGCACAGGAGAGCTTGCTGTGTCCTTCATGCGTCTACAATAATCTGCTTAGGTCAAGGGATCTGCCTTGAAGTGAGGAGTAGCGGTGAGCAAGCGAGGTGTAAAAAGGAAGACAAGACTGGGAGGGATTGCAAATGTGCCTGAGGCTGATAGTAAAAAGTTAACCCTTTGCTGCGCTCCTCTTTTGCCGAGACTTGCCCAGAAGCCAGCTCAGCAGGATGAGCAGAGGCAGACACACACGTGCCTTTATGGTAGTCACACACATCCCGAGAATGTCACTTATGTCAGCTTCTCCCTCCCAACAGCTTCACTGCTCCCAGTCACTTTGGAGCAAAACACTCAGGAAAACTGTTTCAGCATTTCCCCGCCCCTTAAAATGCAAAACAATAGAAGAAAGTCCCAGGTGTTGTATTACAAAAATGGATATGAAGAAAGGAAACTCCTGTTGTTTCTACTTCTCTAAAAAAATTATTATTCTTCATAAGTATTAGGAATGCCAGCAAAACTGTTTTTTATTAAAAATAGTAAATAAATTATTAGATCAGAAGCCAAGTTCTTAGCTGCATAAATTATTCTGTATAAATAATGCAGGAATAAAAGAAAAAAAAATCCCCCACTAGGCACCAACAATGTTTTAATATGCTGTCAATTAAAGAAAAAAAATATTACCCAAGCCCTGAAATACATCATCTTTATTTCCAGCTGTAGAGAACAGCACTTAGAATTCTGACAAGAAATAATAGCATTATAAACAGCCTGGATCCTTACAAAGCCAGTGGGGAGGATTTAAAATACTGTTGATTCACTACTCCACTACTTTAGTTACTATTTCTCAGTCTGAATTAATCGACCTTACAAGGGACTAGCCTGAGATAAATTGAGATCTGGTTCAGGCTGCCATCCTGGTTTTGCATCACTGATATAAACTAAGGTATATTGACTGGCGGTAAGAGAAGAGTTTATCAATGCATAAACAAAGAAACATAATCTGTGCTAGGAGTTCAGAGATGCTGCAAGAATTGAGTATATGTGCACATCTTTATAACATATATATATATATATTCTATATATCTATAGTCATGGAATAGATTTACAAAGAATAAAATTAAGTCTATTGCCATTTACACAGCTCCTTTTACACATTTTTAGCTATATTTTACATGATAATTCCATTTTTAATTTCCAATATTCCAAAATCAGTTTGAATGTAAGTTTAAACAACTTCCAATGTGCACAGGGAGATTTGGAATATAAATAAAGGGAAAAAAGACAACTTCCAGCTCTACCAAGACAGTGGTAAATCAAAAATTTATTCCAGAAATATTCAAAGACAAGAAATGTTATATATCAAGCTAGTAAAGTTTAACTTTAATCTTAAACTTGATGATAATGTAAAGGAAATTCCTTTTTAGTTCAATAGAATGTTTTAAAGCCACAGAAAAACTCTTCTCCTTCCTCTGAGGCACAACCAGATTAAGAACTCCCAAACCTGACTCTGCTTTGTCATGATAATCACTCACGTCTTTGATAAAAATATCGATAGAAAAGTAGAGGGTTTGTGGTATTAAAATGGAACCTTCCTGTAAATGTGCTTTCATGTCTAGTAAAGCTTAAAAAAGTCAACCTGCCTTTTGATGCAGAATTATTGGCACAGTATCTGAGATCATACGAACTTGAGATTTAAATCAGAGATTTCTGGGTTAACCAGTAATCTCTTTAATCCCATCTGTTTTAGCCAGAATAAATACCTTACAGGGCGTGATGTACTTAGTTCTTTCTAAAATGATGCATGGCCCCTTTCTTCCCCCACAGTGAACACATGACATCAATATGTATATAACAAAACTCCCTAGTTCCAAACAAGGGCTAAATTTTAACATTAGGTAGCTCCATGCTTGCATTCTGCTTCACTATTTCACTAATTATTCATTTCTTCACCACATGGAGACTTCAAATTCTCGTGCAATTGCCTTCCCTGTACATATATGGCTCTTCTCAGCCTAAGTGCTACAATTAGTGGCAGAACAACCAAGCCTCATGCTGCTATATCCAGAAATACAGAGATCACCACTGCTCCATGGTAAGGAAGTTGTTAAAAAATACAGGACATATCCAGATGCATATTGTAAAAGTCAGTGGCAGAGGTGTGATCAGGATCATTTTTCATTAGAATTAAGTTTAGTTTTCTGTCTTTGCTTTTTCAAGTTTACTATGACAGAATTATAAAACATAAAACTTTTGCACAGGTGTTGATACACCTATGATCTCAGAACACCAGAGCACATCTTAAACAGAACTATTGATTTCAATTTACAATGTGTTTTTAGCTCCCAGAGTCCCTAAGTTATAAACAAAGAAATTTTATATATTCACACACAACCCTTGTTAGAAAATCTATTTACTCCCACTCATCCTCCACAGCGAACAGGCTGTGGTGTCCTATTTAAAGAACGCTAATTTTGGCAAATGTACCACCCAAAGAGTCATAATTTCAGAGCCATGCCTCACCTGAAGGACAGTGTGACAGCTGCTCAGTGAAGTATGAAGCTGCTGTGCAAAGCAGCATTATAGGGTTTCAATCTCAGGAGGGCAACAATAACAAAAGAGAACTGCTCACCTGGAGCAGGTGAAAATGACATTGGCAGAGAAAAGGAGTATGTGTTGGCTGTGCATTAGTAATTGATTTACATTAATGAGATTCACAGGTCTTGAAGCAAGTAACTACAGAAAAGAGAAGTACCACCCCTCCCTCCTCTTGTTTTTGCTCAAAACCCTACTAATCTCAACTCAGATAAACCAAGGAATCCAACTTTATTTCCAGTCGCCCAACACATTCCCCTTGGTACATACTTTATGAAGAGTACCAGTCAGATCTTGGTGACCATGAAGGAAAGTAAAAGGAATCATTTCCTGGTGTCTCACCATGTGGGTCTCTTCCCTAGCTGTGGACTACCCCTTGTTCTGCTCTCACCTGCAACACATGAAATCCTTTCACCTATTCCCTCCACACATGGGTCTGAGAGCACGGTGTCCTCTCTCACACTCAGGACACATACATTCCCAAAACATCCCTAGAGGCACTTCCATGAGGATCTGGGAGCAAAAAGGGATCAGAATTATAACCTGACATACACACATACTATGTTTTTAGTTTAATTTAATAAGGAGCTCATCATCTTCTCAGCACACCCATTTACACGAGACTACTGCTTTGAACTACCAAGACAATCTGATCAGCTATGGTTAATGGTTCAACCACGGTGATGCAAGTGCCAATGAGAGAATGAAAGACAGCAATACAATTCTTTTGTAACACAACTGCAAGGAAACAATGTACTAGTGTACCAGCAGCTCACTGGCTGCTTATATATAATAGCTCTGCTTATATATAATAGCCCTGCCATCACTTACAGAAAAATTTGTACAAGACTCTTGAATTGGAAAAAAAAAAAAAAATAATAAGTTTACCTGCATAAATAACACTATCAGAAACAGGCAATTCTCTCATCTTTAGATAAGATGTACTGCAGCTTTTATATGATCTTTCAGCAAATAGCTATATTGAAGTGTTAAAAAAAAAATCATTGCAGACATACAACACAAGTTGGTTGTTTGGACTCCACATTATTTGTCAAAAAGACACATCGGCTACAAATACACAACATACAATAAGGTATAGACATATAGTCTATACTCCTGAGATTTAGGAATGACTTTCACCTTCCCCAAAAATTAAACAGAAGAGTTACTAACACTGTGCATGGTATTCTCCCCTTACCAACAAGGATTGCTTCTCTTGCAATCACAACTTAGGTACAGAGACAAAATTCAGAACTCTACATCAGCTGTGGAAGCAGATGGATACTAGCAGGTAATCAGCTGGCAAGACTACACTCACTTTATCTAGCAGAAGCTTCTAACACCTAAATTAAAAGTGCAACAAGCAGTAGTCTAATGCAGACCAAACAGAACTGCTGTAAACCAATTCCTTGGGCTTCCACAGCATCCTGAAGCTGACACTAGAACCAAATAAAGTTTTCAGACAAAAATGAAAAATACCTTTAGATTTTCTCCCAACTCTTAAGCCTACAGGAGTACAAAGTTAGTCATGGAATTAGGGCAAACAGGAAAGACATCTTTGGCCAAGCACAAATATTCCAAAGCGGCAGATTCCAGATGGGAATGGGTTGTCCTATCTGAAACAAGAGGAAAACCTCTTGTTCTCTGCCATCTGAATGAGTATGTCCTAAATACTGTGCTGCACTGTGGACTGGCTTTACATGGAGGAGCAACAGGAATCCAAGTTTTCAGCAGAACTCATGTTCAAGTAAGCCCTTAGCAGAAGCAAAATTTAAAAGTTATTTTAAAAACTTGAATAGAACTTGCATTCTTCACAAATAAGAATGAATGGCTGTGAGATACCACATTAGAAGTTGCCTTTTAAATGCCCCACGAAGTTGGTACAGACTGGAACACAGCCATCATGCCACTAGATCCTTAGGG